ACCGCGGCGACTTCCGTGTACAGTCCGATCTGGCCTATCCACCGGGTAGTGAATGACTGGAACAGCTTGCCAGAAGCTGTCGTCGATGCGGGAGACTGAGGAATGTTTCAAACGACGGTTGGATATCCCACTCTCTGAGTGCGCAGGGATTCTGCTGCCCACAATGCAACCATAGCGATCTTCTGCTGAACCTTGTTCCGCAATGATCCCAGCAACCCTCGCAATGTCCGGGAACGTGACGGAGCTGACAAAGGAACATCGTCCTGCTGCTCTCTACTAACCAATGAACCAATACCCGCCAGAATTCGTCAGTTACTCTGGTATATGTGCAGCTTGGGGCCGCACACTAAGTGCCATAACCTCCCAGAATCCGGACGGCCATCAGGGACAACACGAGCCTCGGTGCATTGCGATGCGCTGGACATAGGGGACACCACAGAGTGGTGATAACACGTTGTATGCAATACGTTAACACGACATCAAAAAAGGCCAAAAAGCAACGGGGTGTTATTAAAAAACTGGGAATAAACTGGAAAAAATACCAGTTAGGCGCAGAGAGCGACCAAGCATTGACGAAGACACCGGCTTTAAAAAATCGATTCCAGCATATCCTTGGGAAATCACCAAGTACAATTTGGACCAACAGTTCAAATTTCGTTTCGATCAGACTTTATTCAACCACTCCGCTATTTTCTCGCACGTGTATTGCACCTAAAAAACAAAAACGGCAGCGTGCAACATGAGCACACGCCAAAAACGAATAGTTAACCGCGTAGCACAAGTCTTGTCTCTTGGCAGGAAAAGAAATATTATCGCCAGTGATCACCGGTTTGCAGATTCATTCGGCATTTACATGCGTTAGCAGCCCTGTTACATATAATATGAACTTACTGTTTGCCACGCATATTGCCTGAAACGTGCCAACCAATGGTTAGAGCGAACCGTACGCAGCAGATGTTGCTCGCGTTGGCGGAAGTCCCCATCAGCAATGTGTTGCGGCTTTCACGCTGGAGAAAAGCAGAAGTTCAACAAATGTTAACTGAAGACGTCCGATTATCCTCAAAACCGGGGACGGACGTACCCCGAGCGTCTACTTAGTTTGGGAATGCATTCAATGCACTACCGAAGGCTTAGAGGAGACCTAATCCTAACCTACCGTATCTTGACTGGGAAGGTTGGTCCAGATTTATCTTGGCTATTCAGTCCCGCTAGATTGTCTGTTCTACGCGGTCATTCGTTGAAGCTGGACAAACCGCGTTCCGATCAGATTAGGGTGGAAATCTGGCTGTCACGCAGAGTCATCGGCCGCTGGAACATGCTTCCGGAAAGTGTTATCAGGGAATCTACGGTTAAGAGGTTTGTGCGGCAACTTGACGCTCTTGGGTGGCAACACGAAACATTTCCATTCTCCCGAGTAGCTGGCATCTTCGTACTTCGATTTTCTTTTCCCTACTTTTCTTCACGTATTGGTAGTATTTTCTTATTTAAGTGCACTTCCCTATTCTGTACCTACGATTTCTCTTCCTATCCTTTGCTTACTTCCCATGACTGCCACAGCAGGGACTGCTAGGGCCGGAAACGTGGGCATTAACTGGTTGACCAGGGTGCGATACGGGTATTTCCGTTTTAGATCCATCAATAGCTGAGCACTTCATCAATTCCTGACTCCACGATCCACTCAAACTGGAACACTCACGGGATTCTCTTATCGTTCCAGTCCAAATCTGAACTGAACTGTACTGAACTACATTACTAGAGGTGGTGATGTATCTCGTAGAAACAAGTCAGCTCGACAGGTGCTGAAGCACTTGCAACCTGAATGTGAAACTGCGATCAATGAAAAACTGGTCCTTCGACATGTCCTAAAATTGTAACTTCACTGTAGTCAATTTCGTCATTCTCTATCCTCTTCGCATGGTCTTGTTCAAATGCTGTCGTCCATAAACCTTCAGTTGTACGTATTTTAAACATGAAGGCTACATGTTGTTCCAGTTGGTAAGCGCGCATTTGTTTTAATCAGTACGGTCAACTAAAATCTTTTAAATGTGTTTATAATGACTTCTGAATGTTTTCTGGGAGCGTTATTTACTCGGCAGCGGAAATTTAAACCTTAATTGCTGTGTTACTCGTATATGAGAGCATACTAAAGACATCCTATACCATCCTTATTGATTTTTCCTTGCACAAAGACAGCAGTTTTCCTTCTAGCTAATAGGTATTGGATGTACGTTTAGTGATAAATATGGTACGGTAATATATGAATAACCAATCGTATCAAATTCCATTTACGAGACCAAGATTAAACTTAGCATTGAAGTTGAAATTACATTTATTTTTATGTAGGGCTTTGGATCTTGCTGTTCCAAAAGATATATAAAAAATTATGATCTTCATCATAACCGTTATTCCAACCCCCTGTTCCTCATTATCTGTATTCCTGGACTTCCTGACCCACGAGCCTGACTCAGCAAGGGAGCTTGCAAAATATGATCTCAAATACTGCTGTGTACTTTCTTTGAAAACACACATTTAATTATTTTACGTCATTAATTCATTTGGTGCAAAGACGCACTTACTATCCCATTACCTGTATCAACCGACTTAACATTATTTTCGTCGAATGCGGGCGATTAGCTATACCTGTTACACATAAGTAGTTCGTAGGCCTTTCCGATCAGATCCAGTTAACGCGGCAGCTGAAAAGATACATCAGTAATTATTAATGACACGAATTCACTTAGTTTTTGAATTTTAATTTAGGTTGTACTTTGCCTCTGCAGCACACTTAGTGTGAGTGCTACAAAAAGAGTCAGTATTTGAAACATGGCTTACTGCTCTGTGTTGTTTTGGTTAGTCCTAAAGGCTTCTTTGCATTTGTGCAGATACAAATTTCGGTTCAAGATATAAACTCTTCTAATGTTGCCAGTGGCTGTGCTGTTGCGAAATTGCGTCAAAAGTGGCTCGAGCAAGTCTTCACTTTAACGTGCTTTTCTACGTTTTTGAGAAAAATGGATGCAGTTTTTAACCTTTGTTCTTAGGATTCTCTCACATACCACCAGTGTCTGTGTTCTGTAAACTGCAGTAACCGTTGAATACCTCCGATCGTCCCAGTGATACATTGGGGACGAAATATTGTGTTAGTGCAAACTTCCTTGGCAGCTACCAATGTGGATGAGGTTGAACGCAACTGATACTAATTAGTTACGCACATTTGTAAGCTTTATATCATACTATGGTCATTTCCCCTTCTATACCACTTTAAAACACTGCTTTTGTGCCGATTCATGGGTGTATAACCGTTATGTTTAAATTAATGACTGCTTTCAGTTACATTTATACAAAATACTTATCATGCTTCTTTGGTTACTCTTCAGCCTGGAGTACCATCAATCAGGGCTGAAGATTCTTGCAAGGCGTTTTTCTGTTTTGCATACCCTATCTCATGAGACTAGTTTAAAATCTCAGCTATCATGAATAATATTTAGAGGTTTTACCTACAGAATGGTCATAAATATGGCCTTAATAATTTGAAATGCTTTTGTCAGACTGTCATAACAAGGTCAGCTGTGGCCTATTTAACGTTTTTGCAGATATGGTTGGCGTTGAAACCAAATAATTATATTCATAATCTTATTTGCTTCACCGCTTTCAGTTTAATAAATGTCCTAAATTCTTCCTTCGAATGACAACCATTTTAACTTACTTGGCTGCTGATTTTTCCGATTAGAACAACTAGCGACATCAGCTATATTCACACAGCGCTTTACGTTAACTCTTAATGTGTAGTGTACGCTCTGCTTAGTGAGAAAGGAGGCTATGCTATTCCATACTACATCATAACTGAAGCATTCCACATCCTTACCTTAGTGCAGCGACGATAATAACAGCGTTATTGGAGGAACTTAACCCAACTAAATTTGTTTCAAATAGTAGCTTTCGTGATCTAAAGGCTTGTATCGCTATGAATCACCTCATGCCAGCTTCCTCTTGAAGCGTTTTTACTTGCGTTGAATTGCCCAATATATACACACATGCAATGCATGATATTTGTTTTCCAGCTGAATTGATTACTTAAGTACCTTTGGAAGTATCTGCTGGATATACATCTGATCGCTTTGGATAAAACATCCCAACCTGTGCTTCATTCATGCTACCAATGCTTGAATTTTAGGGAGTTTCTAGTTCGGTAACAACTAATTTTTCCTGCTGATATGGGTTGTTAATCCTGTTGTGCACGACATCAATTGGTTAAATTTTTGACAGTGTTACTTAATAGGAAATACATGATAAAACTAATTGCAAGGAAATAGCAAGAAAACAGTTACTAAATGTTTTGTTGTATATAGCTGTTGTTAGCAAAAGCCTTGACTCTATGGGGGCCTTCTCCTTTCCCGTAACGTTCTTAACTTGTATGACAGTGAGGAATGAGCAGCACTATATGACAAATAGCATCCAGTTCATAACTGCTATCCTTTAGCCTAACAGCACAGACAGCTGGCTAGTGGTAAGGGTTGCAAACTGACATCATTTTTGTGGCAAAAGATTAATTAGGGAGTAAAAATAAATAAATAATAATGTGTCAGCTGTACGCCATAACGGCGCTTCGCTGCCGCGCGACCACCACCGGTCGCGCGGGCTGAGTATACCGCGAGGACGCCCACCCCTACGCGAATTCGAACCGGTGACCTTATGATTGTAGATCAAACGTGCAGACCACTCGGCCACCGGCCGTGGGGGAAACAAGTTCAGCCTGCGAAATAATTGTCTTTTGGTCAATCAAGCCATTGCTTTGAAAGTGTACTTGATTTAGTTACGGCTGCGGTGTCAGCTTGTGACCATAAAGGGTGATTCTCTTCGGGTCCTGATTATCCCAACCTTTGCTGAAAAGCATTTTTGCGATATTTATCTCAGCTTTTTACCACTTCGCTTTGATCTATACTACTGAAACTGTTATTTTGGGGACAACAAATTCGCCAAGTTAGCTTCTTGTTCTTTTTCAACTTATCCTAGTCAAATTCAGAATTTGCATAACCATGTCAGGTTTTAACAATCGCTATGTACTTGGATAAGCGCGGCTGGTTATGTTAAAAGTTTTACCTGGTGTGCCGAGTGTAAGGATATTCAATAAAAATCCAGAAGTTCGGTTATCAAGTGCGAATTGTTCAACCTCAAATGCAATAAACTAGAAATACAATTAGTCTAGTTAAGCTGTTTATAAGCCGATGCTAAAACGCCAGCGATATCCCAACGTTTTCAGTGTCTGTTGGGTATGGCTTTTGTTAAACCTAGAACTGAATAAATAGCGGTTATACGCCTTCTATCTTTAACTAATGTACCCATGTCTGGCTAGCTTTACGATATTTTGTGCTATAAGAATTCCCAAAGTAGAGATAAAAGATGTCAACTCATTTGAACTTTTAACCGACATAGATGAGAAAGTACTGCGTTCATGAAGCAATTAGACAAGTTTATCGTTTGTTGTTAGCCATCCTTAATAGTTCAGGGTTGTTGGTTTATGAACCTCCATAGTGAGGCCAATTGTGGGTACGCTAATGGAAAGCAAGCACACTCTTTCTAGTTGCAGGTTCAGGTAAAGTATTGCTGTTCTCTACTTATAATTTAAGACTAATATTTTTCATCATAATTTGCTTGGTGCTAATAACAAAATTTTTAACTGGTAGGTTAATGAGAACCAAAAAGTGTACTTTACACTTATCCATAGTAATGCTACTAATATATAGGTTGATGAATAAACCATGCCTGAAGTTATCTGTCTTGCTAATATCAAGGGTGCATTATGGCTCACTAAGACACGGTTGCTGTGAAAACTTGTGAGAAATGGCCGACTATTAACTTGCCCCAAAGCACAGTTTATGTAACTAACATGCTGTTGGGTCGAGTTGCTTACAATGAGCTTATCATATATAGGTATCCTTGTCTTCCTGTAACTGATGAGGCGCAGTTTCCAGATGCAGACTCTAGGCACCTAAATGGTAAACTTTTTACTATAACGTGAAAAGGTACAAAAATGTCTTTCTCATCCAAGTGCTAAAGTGCACCGCTATATTCTATGCCTTCAATATTGTCAGTTAAATGAACGTTCTTTCGAGAGTCTAGGTTAATGTTTTCAATTTACTAACATACAAGGCTACAGATAATTTAGTACATAGATCAAAGTTTATCTCTTAGCCACGTATAGATCAGTCATTAAGTATCCCACTACAGACCTTACAGTAGCGAGTTTTTAGTAGCCCAAATTTACTAGGTTATCTGTAGCTTTATGCTTATTTAGGTTCATTTTCGACGAAACATTCTTTCATTTATGTTTACCGCACGACGTAGTTGGAATTACTTTGAGCACAATTTTATCCGACTATGTATAAAAGGTCGAATTATTATTACTGTCATTCTACACATTAGTTACGGCTAGGTAACATCTTGTCCGTTGCCTTACAATAGAGTTGTTAAAGAAAATGAACAGCATTGCGGAACAAAACGAAATCTTGCAATTTTTTAGTAATTGATACATTTGCAACGATGTCCTGGTTGTATTGGCATACTAGGCAGGGTGAGACGGAATTAGAGAACTCGCAGCGCATAAGCCATTAAGGTCAGATCCAAGCCGTAGAAGCTAGTATCACTAGCCAGACGCGTTCATCAGCTTTCGTACCCTAACTTAAATGTGGAAAAGCTCCATTGAAGGCCAAGTTAGAACTAAGGAACATCAATCCCACTGACTACGTCGGAAATTGGCCTCCACTCCTCTTTTTCCACCCACACACCATTTGCGCAAACAGTGCACGTCGCAGGAGTAGATGTGGCATGCGTTACACCTGACCCGGCCATCAGAGTCTGGTGCGTAAGATAATATTGCTAAGCAGTTCATTTGCTTCTCCTGCGCTACAAACAGGACACCGAACAAGCTTTTTGCTCACCTGCCATTCCAATTAGCTTTGAGCTAGCTGCGACGACGCAACGTTTTACATAACAGGATT